GGATGTGGGGCACTCTGGGGTCCCAGGGCAGGGCGTCCCTGCCACTTCCAGCATTGGCATTGGCTCACCTCATGTGTTTGGGTTTAGAGCAAAACTGAGAGTCCCTGCTCCTCAATTCTTTGGAGTGTTTACGATCATTACCCAGGACGCTTGAACACTGCACCTGAATTCCTGGCTACCTGCATCTGTTCCGTCAAGTTATTCACCCCTCGAGGCCCACCTGGTTGAGTTCTCCTCTAGCAGATTGGGGTCCCTCGGCAGGCAGGTCACTGCAGGGTTAATGAGGTGAATGCAGGCAAAGGCACACAGGTTTTCGGGACTAGAGCTCATTCTTAAAGGCTTTCCCCCTGCTGGGCTTTGCTGAGCCCCCCTGCCCCCCCCACACACACCTCACCGTTAGAGGGGGAGCTTCTGCTGGGCAGGACCTTGGTGTGCCCTGATCTGCACCCCCACACCCAGGGGCCTCTGCACAGATGGGTCCGTGGAGACGCTGGTATGTCACTCCGCCCTGGACACACGCAGACACTCATGGCCCCAGCCCCACAGAGAAGCTCAAGCTCACAGCGGACGTCAGCAACGATGATGAGCAAAGAACAGGACGACTGCGGAGCACGAGGAAAACCTGGGTGATGGAGGTGGAGACGGGGCGGGTGGGGGCGCGGGGGGCTCGCCACACTCGCCCCTCCTGGGTGTGTGTTCACAAATCCTCTATCATAAAGCAGAAGGACGTGAGACAGATTCGGGAGCTCTTGGGAGGCTCTCAGCTTGTTTGGAGGAGCCCGAGGGCACCCTAGGACGACCCTCCCAGGGGCCCGAGGCCTGGGGGCCCACCTGGGGGTAGGGTTAAATGCAGGGGCTTGGGCCTTTGGTCCCTGTACCTGGGCCTGTGTCTGGGGGTGCCGATGAACACCTCTCAGCCCTGGGCTGTCCGCGGAGGGCAGCCCTGGCTAACTACTGTCTGGCCCGCTCCAGCCTGGGCCCAGGGTGCCATGCACCAGCGGAGGGCGGGGGAGGGGAGGGGAGTGAGGGTGGCTCTGGGGACTTAAGAGCGGAGCGTCCTGGGAAAGGCGGTGGCTTCTTTCCAGTGGCAGAGGTCTGTGAGCTCCCCTGCGGGCAGTGGGCAGGAGGAGGAAGGAGGGGAGGGGTCAGAGTCCCGGGGGGCCTCAGCTTTGCTGGAGCTCGGCAGAGCTCCTGCTCGGCTCATGTGTTGGGCTCAGTTATAGCTGCGCTTGGCTGGAGGCCTCCGAGTACCTGGCTTTGTGTAGTTAACTCTACCCCCCGGTGCAAGCTGAGAGGGCGAACCCACCTTCACCCCTAAGGAGCTGGAGCACAGAGCGGTTCAGTGACTTGCCCAACCCCACCAGCCAATAGGAAGGAACCCAGTGGCACCGGCTGAGCTCTGCAGTCCTGCCCTGGGGCAGCCAGGTCTCCAGACACTGCTCCTGAGCTCAGGAGAAGCCTTCTTGGGAGCCACCGCCCGGCCAGGCGACCGGGCCTGGGGAGCAAGGTGTGGCAACCAGCTTTAATTCTGCGCTGGCTTTAATGCTGGGGTTTCCTCAAACCGTTCACGGCCGTGGGGAGTCCCGGGTCACACCTCCAGAGGGGTGCAAACGTAAAAGACCCCCCCCCCATACTGGGGATGCCTCGTGTCCAGTTCAGAGTCCCAACCCTGGGCCCATGGCTCCAAGTCCCGAAGCTGGGCATGGCTCCATGCCACCCTGGGGCTGCGCCCCACCCACCCGTCATGGCAGGGGGTGGACTCCCATCGCCTGCATTAGCCTCTGGTCAGCCTCTCCAGCAAAGCCGGAGAAGCCAGTGCAGCTCCCAGGCTCCCGAGATGCTCTTGTTCCTGGCCTCGCCCCTCTCTGGTCAGCGACGCTGCTGGCACAGGGCTCGGGGTGGGGGCTCGGGTGGTCACTAGGCCAGCAGCTGCTGCACCAGCAGGGAAGCACCCCGCATCTCAGGGCCCCCAGCCCCTGTGCCTTTGCAGTGGACACAGCCCCGGAGACCTCCAGGACCGCAGCCTCGCAGGTATTAGGATGGAAGAGCTCTCCTGAGTGGACACGGTGGGGGCAGCCTCCAGACAGGGCTCTTGTAGATAAGGACGAATGTGCGAATGATAAAATAGCTTTTTTAATTCACTTGATTGGGCTCATTGGCAATGATCAACAATAAATAAAACAGAGCAGAGGCCGGGCGGGTAAACACTTGCAAACTCCATTCAATCGCATCCCAGGGAACACACCCGAAGAGCAGGGTAGGGAAGCCGAACAGGCAGGGCTAGCTGGGGAGTGCTGGGAGCTTTGGCTTGACGTGGGCTCTGTGAGGGCTGGAGCGACAGGCCCCTGGTCCTTCCTGGGGAGGGGGTCACAGCATGGCCGCTGGGGGTTGGCCAAGCCCTGCCCACCTGGGAAGTCACGTTCAGCAGGAGTCCAGAGCCCTGATGGGCCGGCCCAAGGGGGCGGCCGACAGCCGGCTTGCCGCTTGTGGGAAACACCTTTTTGGTCAGAAGCGTGGATGAAATGCCTGATGCCCACCGCCCTGAGGGTCGCTCTGCTGGTCCCCCCCCCCCCACGGCCCATCTTTTTTAGTGGCCTCAAGGGCTCGGAGGACTGTGGCTTCAAGAGGAGAGCTGACTGTCCCCTGACACGTAGCCCAGGCCACAGAGGGAGGCATCCTGCCTGTGGCCATGTTTGAGACCAAGCAGATGCCCACCAGGGACACAACGAGAATGCTGGGTCAGCTGCTGCTTCATGATGGCCCTAGACAGGGTCCACCCTCTGTGGCACGACAGTGGCCTCTCAGGGCTGGGAGCTCCCTGGGGCCAGCATTTCCCATCATGGCCACGTGATGAGACGTCCCTCCCCTTCCTCTGGACTCAGCTGCTTTGCACAGTGGCCACGGAATCTGGAGCTCCACCCTGCCTTCTGCCCAGAGGCCGAGTTGTGTCCGGGAAGGAGCATGGGCCACGGGGGCTGCCCCAGGTCTCGCCCCACAGTCGCCCAGGTCGCCAGCACCTCCCCACCTTCTAGTCTGGCCTCCCCTTTGAGGTCTGACTTCTTTGTATCTGGCTTCTCTCTTGGGTCTGCTGGACAGTGACCCGAGCGGAGTCCCAGTCTCAAAGGGCATCTGAACACTTGCTCTGGCTGCCTCCTCTCCCTCCCCCCTTCCACGGGTCTCCAGGCAACCTCTGCCCACAAAGTGGACCGAGCCCTGCTCTAGGCTGCAGGAGTCAAGGAGCTCATCGAGGTGGGGTACATGGGCTTGCCTCCCCACACTGGTTCTCGTTCTCTGCCCACAGCCTGCCAGATGCGCCATGGGAAACCCCGCCTGAGTCTCAGCCACCCTGGCCCAGGGAAGGGCCCCACTGTTCAATCCCACCGAAACTTCTCGTCTTAACGGCCGTGACCCACTTCCATTCGGTGAAGCGCCTGCTGCTAACTGCCAACTGACGAGACACGGGGAAGCCGCAGGCGCTGTGCGGAAGCGACGTGCCGTCTCCTCCGCGGAAGCAGGGTGGAGGCAGCTGGGTCCCCAAGAAGAGGAGGCCAGGGGTGCGAAGAAGGGGGTGCGGGGGGTGCCCCGCCAGGCGGGGCGGAAGAGAGGTCCTGCGACGGGGCTGGGAGGGGGGTGCAGGAGGGGCTTGCTAGGAATGCCCCCGGGTGCCAGGTCTGCGCAGGAACCCCCAGCGTCCTGTTTTCACTTCCAATCTATGTCTCGATCAGTTCCCAGTCTGGGTCTGGCTGTTTCACCTTGCAGGGGGAGAGGGGCCCCAGGGAGGAAAGGCCTGTCCCTGCCGGAACAGCCAAGCCAGAGGGGCGGGACAGCTTGGCCAGCTGTGAAGCTCGCCCCGGGGCTGTGGGCCCTGCCACGTCCAGAGGCGGATGCTCACACTGGGGAGCCCCCGAAGACTCAGCTGGCAGACATGGGGAGCTCAGGAGCCCAAAGCCCCCGCCCTGCCTGTTCCTGGGGCTCAGGGCCAGCTAGGAGACCCGCGCTGGGCTCCTGGTGAGTCCAAGCGCCGAGAGCGGGCTGAGGGCTTATGTGGGCCTGAGACCGCAGGGCGACTTTAGCAAGCGAGATGCTCTTCAGTTCTGGGGGATGTTTTAAAGCTGGAACAAGTTGTTTTCTTTTTAAACACTTTCTGAGAATCTAATAAAAGCTATAGGACCTCTCCCCAGGAAAAATGCTCATTTGCACAAACTCAGGGGCAAAACACAAACAGGATACAATTTCTGTGGTTGCTGAGTTCCCCGACCCCCTTCCCCACTGGATGAGGGGTGAAGTGGGGAGCAGAGGAAACTGAAACTGGCATGCCACCCCCCAGCCCCCCAAGGAGCGGTGGCCTCTTCAGGAATGCCCTCCATGGGAAAAGTGGCTTTTCTGATTAAATGGCATGAACTGGAGCCCACAATCTCTCGCCCTATGCTTGCGACTCTGCTCCCCACCCAGCCCCAAGATGGTGCCCCTGAGTTTTTGAGATTCCTCACCTGAAACAAAAGCCAAGGCCATCATGAGGAAGAAGGAAGCGAGCTGGGAGGGAAGGAGGTAGAGCACGTTCCATAAACCCACCAACAGGACACTCCGCCTGTGCCCGTCAGTGAGCCTGAAGCCCACAGCAACCCAAAAGCCCAGTCGGAGGGGTTCTGTGAAGCTTGTTAGAAGCTCCCCACTCCCCAGCTTCCGGTGAAGCCAGAGGAAGCTTCAGTGAAAATACCAGGACCAGCACTGAGACCCAAAGTGAACTCGATGTCAGTTGAATTAAAAAAAAATCAATAAATAATCAAGAAGGTTGAGGAGGAAGAAAGAAAAGCAGGGGAACAAGAGAGTGGGGGTGACTTCTGCTCTGCTGGCCATGCCCTTCGATGGCCTCACCACCCGGACACCAGCCAGGGGCTAGCAGGCGCTGGGCCTGGAGCTCGACCCCTCTAGAGACGTGTGTGCATGTGTGTGTGGAGACGTGTGTGTGTGTGTGTGTGTGTGTGTGTGGAGACGTGTGTGTGGGGGGGAGGGGGGTTGGCACCGCTGTGTGGCTGGCAGGCCGGGGCCTCGGACCCCACCGCCTGTGAAGTTGGGGCGGACGCTCCCGGTGGTGTCCTGGGTGGTGCGGAGCGTCAGTCAGGCTGTGTCCGGCTGAGAGTAGGCTGAGGAGCCCGGCCGCGGGGCAGGGCAGGCCCCTTCCGAGTGGGGACTGAGGCCTCTCTGCTCCCCGAGCTCAGGGCACACAGCGTCGTCCGGCTGCTTTCTGGGGTTATCATGCCCGGGAGCGACGGTTCAGGGCCCGCTGGGGAAGAACAGGCCACGGTTTCGGAGGCCCTCGGCCGGTGTCTGTGCCGACCTCTGGGTGGGGAGATGCTCCTGGTTACCACAGGCAAAGTGGGGAAGAAGGGGAGACGGGGTTCCTGCAGCGCGTGGGAGGGAGGTCGGGTGTCCTGCGGAGACCCAAGGTGCCTCGTGCCCATTGCCCACGTGACTCTGTCCTGGAGGACCCTCGCTCAGAAAGGTTCCGAGGGCCCGGTCTGAGTCGGCCCTCCGCAGCAGGGGAGACGCCCGGTCTTCCCTGGAGACCGGCCTTCCCCTGGCGCTCCGGGTCTTCAGCACCTGCCCGACTAAGTGCCCGAGGCCGAAGTGAAGCGCTGTTTGAAGACCAGGCCGCTGCGTCTCCCCACCTTCCCCCAGTCCTGGGGCCGCAGCGGAGCGACCTCCCCACCCAGACCAGCTCTGAGACTGGCCCCGCAGGCCCTGGCAGGCCCCTGGGCCTGGCTGGATGGACACAGCCTAACGTTGGGACACAAGAGGCCGTGGGGGCCCCCGGACACACCCCGAGACGGACCCCCGAAGCTCCCAGAACGAGGCTTCCAGCGAGCAGCTGAGGCTGGTGGTGAAGAGGCGTGCTCTGGGGTACCAGTCCCGGAGACTCGTGGCATCATCTGCCCTTGAATATGCGGATTTTGTGGATGGAGGCCAAGGTGGCCGTCACGTTGTGCTCAAAGTCTCCGTCGTGCACCCCGGTTTTTCGAAAAGCCCCAGCTGAAGGGTTGTACTCCCAGTAGTGGTGCCAATTCCCTTTGCTGTCGGCCCCGAAGCCATACAAGTCCACCTGGGGGAGAGCGCAGGTGAGGACCAGCTGCCGGCGGGGGGGCTCCCCCCAGATGGGATCCCGCAGCAAGGCTGCTCTGCGGGCCCCGTCCCCTGGGGGAGGGGGGGCGGGCGCAGGGAGGCACCTACCTCGTCACAGATGTGCAGCGAGAAGACGATGGACAGGAGGCCCGTGGACGGGTACCGGCCATGGCCCTGCAGCCAGCTGTCGAAGACGTACTTGATGAAGGCCGGGTGGTATATCAGGATCTGCAGGAGGAGAGCCTGTGAGGTGGGGGGCACAGCCCACGCCGGTGGGTGGGGACCACGCCCCTGTGGCCTTGGGGCACGGCTGTGACCCAGACACGCAGCCCTGCACTGGCTCTGGCGGGGAGACAGAGACCTAACCGTGGAGAGACAGAGATGCCAGAAGATAAGTGAGGCGGAGAGAGGTGAGAGCCCTGGGCAAGGAGGCTCCCGCGAAGTGGTCCAGCAACCCCCTCCTTGGTCTCGGCCCCCAGATGCCACAGATGGCAAGGGACACCTGCCTCCCCGTGTTCACCACAGAGCCAGTCACAGCAGCCAGACCGGCGTGTGGGCAAGGTGGAATACTATTCAGCTGTGTAAAGTAAAGGTGGCATCCTGCCTCTGTGCCAACATGGATGCAAAGCAAGGTAAGTCAGAAGGGGAAAGACAAACGTGGGGTGTTCACTTCTATGGGGACAGAAAGAAACAGGACAAAAGGCCAGTCAGGGCCCTCCCTGGTGGCGCAGCGGGTTAAAGCAC